GAAACCGGGATAAGCTCCGGCCTGATGGGCCACTTGGCTCGCATGCAGACTTACCTCACTCTTCGGAAAGAAAAAAACTGTAGCACAGACTGACATCTGAGTAAGAGAACACAAGAACGCAACAGAATGAACTCTGCCAGGGCTTGATCCAAACCACTTAATACAGAGACCAGTACACATTCCATTTCAACCACCACACTTAAAACACTAAATAAACTTTTGCCTTAAGAGCCAACTCACCTTGAGGGAGTCCTGCTCTTCCTCACTCTGCCCTGGCTCATCTCCAAGCACTGAAAACCACTTCTGTCTCATTCGCTGAGACTCGTACATTTGCCATCTGAACAGTGATATGGGACTGTAGGTTAAGTGTAAGTCAAGAGTTCTGCCAAAGAAAAATTGAAGCACAATGTGAGAGAACATAAGTGAGAGAACACAAGTGAGAAACCATACCTTGCTGTAAATGGTCAAGTAAATAGGAATCATGACTATTAACCTCGAGAATGACGTAAGAATAATGTTTGCTCTGCAAAAGTGCTCTTAGTCAAGACACTTTACTCTCACAGTGCCTTTCTTCACCTATTTGTATAAATAAGTACTGGAAAATTTATTGCTGGGGTGACACCCAGGGGGACGTAGAAATACTTCTACATGTAGTGTGATAAGCTCCAGCACTTTTGACCACTTGGCCCAGTGGAGATTCCAGTTCGCCTTACAATAATACAATGTATCTTTTATCTTATGGTTACATGTAAAATGTAGCTGTAGTGGTTGTTGCTTGTGATGAAAAGAAATTTAACCAAAAAAAAAAAATGACATTTTGAAAAAATTATCTGCTTTGAGTTGTTCATTGATTCATACAAGTACATGTAGTGCTGTCGACATTTGCTTAGATTGCTCATTGTGTATTCTTCCTGTAAAGATGCATTGGAGAATACTGTATATTAAAAGAAAAAAAAAAAACAACCAAAACTTACTTTGTTGTTTCATTGATAGGCATGTAGTCACTTGCTAAATTCCAGTACTTGTTCAGGTACAGTACAGGAAAATATTTGCCAGTTATGTTTTCAAAGACAAGAACTGAAACAGGAACATGTTAATTATTGAAGTTACTGTATGTGTTGGTTCAGTGGAGGTGACATAAATATCAAGTTTCAGGCATAGTCTGGTTGGCTTTTTTAAATGTCTAGTAGCACTTGAGTGAGTAGGGAAGGTCTGAGCCTGTTGAGGTGTTGGGAAATATGGATGAGGAAGCTGGGGTGGTGTGCTGAATTATAAAACAACATTTCCTGCATTTTAATGGTGACAAGTGCTGAATTTGAGAACATTTAGTTTGATTCACTAGTCTGTGTGTTGCACTGGGCAACTTGATATCACAGGAAATCTGGACACTAGACATGCCTTCTGATTGGCTAATTGCTAATTTAGGTAAAGTAATTATCATATTCCAGCTTCTGTACATCCAGTACACAGCACAAGACATAAAGAGTATGGGTAGAGTTCCTACCCTTTCTACCACCTCCAACCCCCTCCAACCCCCCTCTCCACTCCCCATGATGCATTTAGCCTACACCAGTTTCCAGTTCCAAGAGTAATGCATAAAACCCAATCCTCCATAGGAAAAAGAGGGTGTCGAGCTACATTTTACCACAATACCATGCGAGCCTTACACAGCCCATAAAGAACAAGGAAAGCCAAAATTTTGCAATAGTCGTCCTGTGCTAATGTCAACGTGTACGCTAGGTTTGATGGTTTTAGGACTTTTCTGTATGTGTTTATGAATGAGCAATGTTTTTCTGTGCTATGAATCATGGGTAAATGTACCAGTCACCATCCTTTTTCGTACAGGGAATTCAGCCACATGCCAGGTACAACTAAGACTCTGTTGATAAAATAATTAGGCATTTGTGTCTACTTACATTCATCCATCGGCTGTGGAACAGAGCCCTGAACCCATGGCGTCTGATCATCCATCAGGTTGATTGTCAGGTTTGGATGCCAATACGAGATAATTTCAACGGGTTTCTTACTGTCTGGTGCTTGCTGCAAGAAATTTGTGAGTAACTTGTTAGTCTTGAATATTTCAAAATGTTGCTGCGAGTCCTGGATATCTGAGGCACTAGCTACCTAGTTGCCATGTAGCATCCAGGGTAACCAGGGTAACCAGGAGTAACAAAAGGCCCTTTGCATGACCATGTCACATGACCTTGTCAATCATAAAAAATGGTTGCAGTATGAAATGGATACTTCATGTACACTGTATGAATGGAAAGAACATGGTGGTTGGTGAAGTTAGACAGTATGACTTCCAATTTGGAGGCCAATAAACATAGACTTAAATGACAGATTTTAGGACAGTTTGATAGTTTGAAAATTTAAAATGATTTTCAAGCTGGATGATAAAGCTTGCAATCAAGCAGCATTCTTCCTTACTAATCTTGTTAATTTTCTTAACCTTAAGATGACCGTAACATCTCTCACTTTAACATCAGCAGCCTGAAAATTGGAAATCTCACTAATATCATCAAGTTCATTCCATTTCTGCTATCTACCTTTCACCATTTTTTATTAATGAGGTCACATGACACTGTACCGTTAAGGGCCTACTTCAAACTAGAAAACACAATTCATTAAAAATCCCAGCTTACCACCAAGTCTGCTGGATTAGCATCAGCCACGCCAGTGAGTAAATTTACAGTCCTGTGAACACGTCTCTTTCTGTAAACTGGCAACACTAAAAAAAGAAACACCACAATTACATACATGCAGCAGATGAAAACAAATGAAACCTTTGTTGTTGCAAGCAATCTCTGTTTTGGTTGGTTTGAAATCAGTGTCACATTCTTGTTTGCCTCAATACAAGCACAGCTTAAATACAATCTAACCTCTATACAGAGCCGCACTGAGGCAGAATAAACTAGCTGTAGTTGTTATTGAGAGGTTTTAGTAACAGTGTAGTGTATAGATCTGTGTATAGCTGCGATGAAAAGTGTTGGCCTTTACAGAGAAGCTGACACTGAAAAGAGTGTACTTTCAGTAGAGCATGCGTATTGTCTAATGTGCACTGCTAAACAGCACAGAATAGACCTGAGATTAAAAGTTGGATATTCAGCATAGGCAGCAGTCTTAGTAATGGAACACCACGTCTACTGTAACCTGTAACAATGTGAACGAATTCAAAGCAAATATTAAACGCATGGAAAAATTGTCAGCCATTTTTCACCTTCTGTCGACCTAACCCATAACACAAGCACAATAATCTTGTCTCTTCAGAGTAAAAGCAATAAACTGCTGTGCTTAGACTTTTTCAGTTGTCTACTTGTTCCAGCTAACATTACTAACTATTTTGGTTACAAGAACATGTTCTATGATCATTGTAAAACAAATCAGAACTTACTTGAGTATATATGTACTTGTGTATACTAAGACCAGGGGTTTTATCATTAATGTTTATAGCAAGAAGGCAATTGACTTTCATAGACAGGCAAACTTTTTTGAACTGAACTTCTTAACAAGAAAAACTCTCCTTCACATGGTCAAAGCAGACAGGCAAAATTAGTCTCACAGCAGGTCAATTTGCCCAGGGCCTTCCCCCCCTACCCCCCCCCCAACCCCGACTAAGACTTACTATACTTACACAGAGATCTGTTGACCACAGCTAGCCTGTTATACTTAGGGTGCTGCAGGTCAGGAGATTTGCCACGCCTTGTTATAAAAACATGGACATAAAGTGTTCCATTGTTCTGTAGTTTCTGTTAAAAGAAATGAAAAAAATTTAATTAGAATCACTACTATTATGGACTGAAAATTACATAGCCTTGCAATTCATGGAAGGCGTTGATACATGTAGGTGTTCTATCCTAATAGGCCCTTTGCAGCTAAGCCATCACGTGACCTACTTTTCATAAAATTATGGGCTATAACTTAACGAATGCCAGAAATGGAAAAAGCATGTCGAAAATATCAAAATGGCCAAGTTTGAGGCCCCCATCATCAGAGAATGAGATTTTATGATGCTCTGAATTTTTGAAAGAATAAGAAGATTTGTATAGAAAAATGTTGCTGGAGAGCAAGACCTTGCTCTCCAGCAACATTTTCCATACGAATCCTCTAAATTTTCCGAAAATTCAAACTATGGTATAAACTTCCTCGTTTCTTCCTGGGGTCTCAAACTTGGCCATTTTGGTATTTTTGATGCGCTCTTTCCATTCCTGGCATTCTTTTAGTTATAGTCCATATTACAAAATTTTTTTAGGAAAAATTTGGTCATGTGACCCCAGTTGCAAAGGGCCTATTGCAGTTGTATTAGACTCTCATCACTGACTTTTGGGCAGTATTCTTACTGTATGTTGTATTTTTGAGTGAGAACATGGACTCTCGCAGTATTTCCCTGTGCAGACATTGTTGAAGCAAACTGACAAAAAATTAATGTTGAGTTATGATCTGCAATAAACTACAGTAGCATTCTGTCAGGCTTACAGATAGTAAATTATTTAGCACTTAGCTGGGGGCCCTCAGGAAGCTGCCACCTGTAGACTATATATAGCCTCCATTCAGGCATATAAATGGAGAGCCAACAGCTTGTCAAAAAATATACTGGGGTTACCCACGACAGACTGGAATCTTAAGCCTGGTTTTCACTAGTGACGCAAGCACAAGTGCAAACACAATAATTCTTATTTCACCGTGAAAATGGCCTTGATACAGGTATAAGCACAAGCGCAAGCACCAAGATCAAATTTTTTCCTTTTTCTTGTGCTTACACTCATGCTTGCGTTTGTGCTGCAGCAAGTGTAAACAAAATACCACTCAGACATAACACAAGCACAAGGATATTTACCACACATGGTTAAGTTTGGCCAATGAAAACACTGGATCCAGATTACCTCACACCTAAACAGTTTGGAAGGTTCAGATGATTTTGCTTGTGCTTGTGTTTGCGTCAAATTTTGTTTTCACTTGGGTCATCCCTATTGCTTAGGTTTGTGCTTGCACTTGTGCTTGCATCGCTAGTGAAAACCAGGCTTTAAATAGGGTAGAGCAGACATTTTTCTAGCCTCTCCATGCCAAAGAAACAAGAACCACTAAGCTTGAGAGAGGACTTAATCACTTGATTGAGTTGTGATAGGAGCATTACAGTGTGTATTTAAAAGTTTAATATACATGTAATTACCTCTGATGCTTTTATTGTAGTGCTATACAGTCGTGAGCCATCCATTTGGGGTCCGTCAGTCCAATTACCAAATTTGATATCTGTCTCATGCCATATAAGTTTTTCACTGTTGTTGAAGTCTAAGAAGTGTTGCTCTTCTGCTAGATAAACCCACAGCTCCTACAAAAGATAAGCATATGTATATATAATATGTCAGTTATTTCCTTCAGCTTTTGGCTTGTAATCAACTGTACATGTAGTTTTCCAGCATCCAACACGGCTGCTAAACTGAGTTTTGAACAAGGCTACAGTGTATGATTGAATTAATGCGTGATATTTCCCAAAATCACTGGATTAGTTCTGAAATGTTCAGAATGGAGTGGTCATGGGTACCAGTGTCAAATTACAACTGATGAAAATTTGTTGGTCGATCAAGATGTATGATCCAAATCTATAAGGAGATCCAGGGCTGTGCTCTAGAAGAACCCGAGTGCCACAGGCAACGAACTTTTGTCTTTGGGTGAAATGACAAATGTACTTTTTTCACATAGAGTACATTTAAGTGTTGGGCACCCAGGAACACAAATTTTCCCCCTGGCTCATCTGGTTCAATTTTCAGTAAAACATTACTTTACTTCTTGATTAAGGAATAGAAAACATGTACCGTGTTTCTATAGAGTTACATTTATAGAAACACCAGTGAAAATTTGGGAGAACAAGAAATGCTGTGGGAACACGAGCTGTCAGGTAAGTGCTTCCACAGGGCTTTTTCAAGTTCTCCCAAACTTTCATGAGTGTTTCTATAACTTGACAGAAACACATAGAACATGGTTTCTATTTCTTTTAGAAAATACCACAATGAAAAAAAGAAAAATAACTTGTTTACTTTGATCATCAAAATGTAAAATTAACTCTCTTTGCTCGCGCCATCATTACATCAACAGCTTGTGTTAGTTCTGTGTTTCTATCGCGTTTTAGTATAAATCTACTAGCGTTCTATCTCAAATACCATTATCTGATTGGCTAAGCTACTCACTATCTTTTCTGTGACAGACAGCAAGTAGCGTAACAGTGTGTCCTTGTTAACAAAATGATGGCTGCCTCTAGGCGTTTTTAAAGTGTCTGTGAAGAGGATTTAGATAAAGCTTTCAACAGCTGGTAGATTTATACTAAAACAATTAGATTGTTTGCTTTCGATTTCTATGCGTGATAGTTGACTTGGCTGTGCCCTTGTCAACTATCATGAGATAGAAATCTTGAGATCACAATCTAATTGTTTAATAGAAACATGATTTAAAACCAATCAGTGCGCCTACTTTCTTAGGGCTATTTTCTAAAGGTACGCATGGTACATGTTTTCCGTGTACCCCAAATTCAACTTTAATTCTCTCTGGGAAAATGTTTCTGCAATTTTCTTCAAGAGCTTTTTTTAATTTCCAACCAGTTCTTTTCATAACAACCTTTGTCTTATATTTGAACCAACAATACTCACTAAACACAACAATATATTTTTTCGTGTTTTAAACAAACACGAAAACAAACCAAATGGTACAAAAATTCAGAAGCTAGAAAGTAAGTCTCTATAAACCCCAATCACGTAAGCAGAACGCATTTAAGTGAGAAATCAATGGTTATTCACAACAAAAAACTGGGTGAAAACCTGTGCTAGATCAATTATGGCATGGCGATACCAAGACGTGTAACAGAGCTCTTCTCGCATAAAATTTTCGCTCGTGCCGGCAGATTTGAAGCGTGCTACAGACACGAAATCTTGCCTAATCTCGTCTTCATCACCAGAATTTTTTAAAAGAAAAACACTTACAGATAAGTAATCGGCAGTCTTTCTAACGATCCCCTTAGTTAGATTCAACTTACTATCTTTTCACCCGTCTTAAAAAGATTCGTCGATGGCACTGTGTTCGAGGTATTTGTGCTTTGCTGTCGGCCACGAAACAAATTCGAAATCAACCAAAAGATGAACATGCGAACAAGAAGACTTTTCCACATGGATCCCTGTTGCTGCTGTTGTTGTTGCTGTGGTTGGTCATTCTGTTGAACGTTGTTTCCTGCCGTTCCATTCTGAAGTTGAGTGTTGGTTTGCTGTTCATTTCTATCACACGCTGCCTCGTCACTTCGTTCGCGTTCTGTCGCCATGATGAAAAGAAGAGATGAAGAAATGGCAAAGGTAACCACGCCTATCACATGAAGGACAGGTGACACAGTCGCACTTTCGCGGGATTCACGCGGGTAGACCCGATAAAGCTGCTGGAGAACCCGCCAAGAAAGGGTCGCGGGTCTAGTGCGCGGCAAATTTTGTGATTTCTATCACCTACATGGTGAAAGATGGCAACTTCGGTCTCGCGCTGGTTTTCAGGTCCGCTTTTTGTTTGACAGTCCTGCCAGGGTCTCAAACCACTTACCATATGCGACCAGAGTCGCCTTCGCTCCGTCCTCCGTCCGGCAGCAAGAGGACAACTCAGTTTCATAATTTTGCACCGCCAGCTACAAACTTATAAGATACACCATGTGCATTGGATTTGTCTAAAAGTTTACAACAGCCGACCCAAAAGTGGAAGCTTAGCCATGGTGCTCTCCCAGTATAATTTTTTCGGCTGTTTTAGGAGTAACTTGTTAAAGGTTAAGTATTAAAGAATAGCGTCTGTTCTACTGAAGCTATCCAAAATGTCTAATATACAAGCGAAATACCAAGACTTTTGAAGTACATCTGAGCATAAGGAAAATTGAATGACGAAAGTAAGCGTAATTATATGTAGCCTTCGAACGGTTTTAACAGGCCCCTTCAATATCTGGGTGAGAAAAAAGGCCACTTTGCGCCTTGCAAGGAGTCTGTGAACTAGCATAAAATAAACTTTTTTGATCTGTTAGGTATTTGAGGGGTGAGGGGGGGGGGGGAAGGTTCAGACATCTCCGACTGGTATAGACATCCATGTTTCAATGTCTAACTCATATCGATGTCCACATTCTCATGAAACGAAGAACAGAAAATCAGGCTAAAGATTTAAGTTATCTTATTTTTATTTAGAACATACGAAATAACAAGCGTAATAATTAAGCAGCTAGTTCTTAAAATCACAGATTTGAAAGTGTATAATAACTACCGTGTATACTTAATCACTGGCGGATCCAGACTTTAAGCTAAGGGGAGGGGGGGGGGGCCGGTTTTGATTTACTTGCCCTGCCGGCTTTTCTTCCTTCAGTCATTTCTTCTTTTTCACCCAAAATAAGGGGGGAGACCCGGGCCCCCCGGGCCCCTCCCCTATAGATCCGCCACTGTTAATGTCGTCAATCACAAAACAAAGCAAGTAGTCAGTTTCTTTCCTCAGTACGTAACTGTACATTTCTACATTTAACTGTATTTTATCGAATCAGTTACAACTAGGCAACTCGATTGGACAGAGTATAATATTACTAAATAAACTGTTAAGAATACTGTAATAGCCTTTTGAGGCTAAACATTCAAACTGCAAAATGTCCTCTTTTTTCCTCTCTTGTTTGCGTGACTGTTTTGCAACGGTAGTTACTGGGAGTCAAATAAAGCTTGAGCCAGCCCACATTAGACTTCCTTTTCAGATTTGATCCAAATTTTCCGGCGAGCATCCCCACCCCTTAAGCAAGGGACTCCCACGCCTTCTTTCTCACCTCTCCCCTCAGCGAAGAACTAACAAAATCACAAAAATTCTTTAATTGAGGACGACTGTTTCGTAACCGAACTTATGCGAAAAAAGAAACTGCTTCGCAGGCTACGCTAAGTACCCGGGTACTATTTTATTTTTTGGTTCTGGTAATGTTTCTACTTGGACTAGAGGATAGAAATATCCTACCCGTTTGAAAAAAGAACTGAAAGGTTACAAAAACTATGTTAAAGCGGGGGTTAACTTAAAATTCTGTAATCTGGAAATAAAATTCTGTATTCTGAATCTTGAGGTATTAAAGTCTGATTCTGAGGGGCATTTCTCTTACTGTAAGTTCAAAGCTCGTTTTTTCAAAACGAGTTATTTTTGCCTTTGAAAAGGGATATTTTGAGTGTTCTAAGTAAGTTTTGTGTTTTAAGATAGAACTTTTCCATTCAGTGCATTTTGACGAAGTTATGCATTGCAACGTATGCTGCATTTTCTGCATCAGATTTGACTGGTCATCATTTCATGTGTTTTTAACTTTTCAAGAATGGTGTGTTTTTAGGCGAACCCCCGCCTTAAGTGTGTTTCACTAGTGCTATGGTTTGAACATTTCCTCAGTAAATGACCGGACTACCCAATCTGGAGTTTAGGTGGCCACATTCACATCTCCATGTTGCCTACGCTTGTTGCAGCTGCGCACAACAAGGTAAGCGGTTGCACAGATAATGGCTAAGGCGGCAACACCGCTGACCGTCACAGTTACCGCTAAATTAGTCGAGAAGGACTGGGGCTCACCACCTGAAACAAAGAAAAGAAAAAAAATGTTTTGTTTTCTCATTCCAAGTGATGAAGTTTAGTTTTCCATAGACTAGCTTCTTAAAAGCAATTTAGTTTAAAATAGCTTGAAAGTAAATGAATTCTCAGCATGATCCAACAACAGCAAGCTTTACCGATTTGGATGGCCTAAAAAACGTCGCAGCAATGCGAAAAAGCATCAGGTATTTAAGAAGAGGCCATGATCGTAAAAGTACAAACACCTGGAAGACAACGAGAGCCAAACAGCGTCTTACAAAGTCGTAACTTATGTTTTTTTAATCTTTTTCACTGCACTCATTTCAACGGTCATTTAAAATGAGGGAGTTCCCCAAGAATATCGACGCAAAAGAGTAGAAAATATAAAATCGCCAAGAAAGGCAAAACCAAACCGATCCCTTTGCGTTGATAGACCTAGATGAGAACAAAGACCGAGCTAATATTATAAAGTTGACATAATAATCTTTAAGGTAGAAAAGAAGAAAATGGGGATAAGATTTTAAGAAAAACAGTTAATGATATACAGATTAAAATATTGCAAGTTTGCTCGATGATTGGGTTTTCAAAGGTAAACCTTCTAAAGGAGCTACCGGCAAAGAAATAAATAGCGAAGTCTTCTCAAGATTGCAGTTTGAAAATTCCAACGCAAGAAAACAAGTTTAGCTGACAAAAACGAATTCTGCATACCCTCTTTTTCTTCCTCTTCTTCCTCGTCGCTCTTAAAAATAAAAGGACCTGTTGACGTGTGGTACACCTTAGTTTCATCGACTTCATCAGCGAGTGAACGCCTTTTTCTCCCCTTAGGGTCACATTCAGCATCAGTAGGGCACTGACACGCTGAATTATCGACATCTGCCAGGCAAACTCTGAGATCACAGTGGAAGTAAACCGCATCGCCTTTCTCAGCACCATAGTACCTGAAGGTCGGTATGGAGAATGTCTCGGCTACACTGTCATTTTTGCAAGTATACGACAAGGATTCGGACTTGTCTTCACTCACAGCCTTGTTACCGCAACTGGTTTGAAAAGAAACAAAGAGGATTATAATGGAACGGGCAGTCGTAGTAGAATGGCTCATTGGTAAGAAAATGACTGAATGACTTTTTTCTTGAGGCTAAATAAAGCGCGCGTCTCTGATATAATAACGAGTCGGGAAAAAAGGACGGTCAAAAAGGAGAAGAAAAAGAGAGGTACACCCGCGGTGGCACAGTAAGGATGACGTGCATGGTGCAGCACAAAAACAGGAGCCTTTGATGGACCGATGTTAAAGTCTTTTTACACACCACTTCTTTCTTCTTGAAGGCAAGAAGAAGAAGAGAGATCCTGGGAGCTAGGTCACTTTGTGCGAAGTAAACTTATAGTGTCCTTCCTTGATTATGAAACAACAGAGTGAATATGTGTACTTACCCGTTTCTTATCAAGGTAATGTTGCCTTCGCCTGAGTTTGGTTTGGCGCTCCTTGATGACCAACAGTGAACAGGAAAAAGGTCAAGGTTAGGTGTCGCCGTTTGAGTCTCTACCGTCGCCTTGAAATACAAAGTCTTACCCAGCTCAACTGGGTTAGGGACCTCACCAGTAAAATTAGAGTAATGGAAAGCTTCAAGTTTAAAGGTGAAGAATGCACTGCCTGAAAGAAACAAATAGATAATATTATGTTGATATAAAGAAGTGACTAACTATTGTTAACATCGCAATCTGATTCACAGAGATCCAGGTTAATATTTGACCATGATCACTTGCACTTCATTGACTACTTTCTAAGTGACATTACATCGAAGTTATTTAGCAGCATTTTTCCATATAAATTCCACCGCAACATTAAAATTTACCCTAAGAATTAGTATAGGTAATTGTAGAATGTGATTGCAATCAAGGATTCACACCACGAGTAATATTTGAAAAATATCACTGCAGGAGCCTTTAGGCGAGTGCAATTTGAAAGCATTTTCAAGTATCACGAGTTACGTAAATCCTTAATTGCTCGAGCCTTCATACGATTACTCATTGATGATGTGACCGAGAAAATTTCGAACGCACGCGCGTTAATTTGTACTACAGTGCAAATTAAAAACTCAACGATACATTCCCCTGCTTTCAGCCAAACACTATGAAGATATTTTCTCAGTTATATGTGTAATAACTGGTCTTAAATTTGGTAACCTTGTTAATTTCAGATCTATCAGGTTGTGAGTTATTTTCCTGGGGGTGGTACTCTGTAAATCTTGGTTAGAGGTGTGCCGCTAGCGCTGGGACTCTGAAACCCTAACCCTATACTAGACCATGATCCGCTTGATTTTGCAACCCTATTCTAGACTAGACACCGAAAACCCTACCCTATCCCAGACTAGCTATTTTCAATGCAAAATTTTTTTATTATCGTGGTCCAACATAAGCCAACTAAACCAATATTTTACGAAGCCGCTTCCGAGTTTTCTATTATAGAACCATGGTTAAAGAATCCTTTTTTAGACTTAATTATTTATACACTGCACCGGTCACTCTTCTGGTAAATTATATCCTACTCTAGACCAAAACTGTCTGATATCTGTACCCTATCCCAGACAAAACTGCCTGAAAACCAAACCCTTCACAGTGGTACACACGCATATTGTTTATAGATGGGACTACCCCCTTGGGGGTTATTTCCTGTCGCGACTAGTTTCTCTCACCGTCAAGATCACGTGATCGATTGCACCATTGAGGACACCTGCGTCAAATTTATCGCCAAAAAAGAGAGAAGACACGTTTCAAAGCTGTGACTTTGATGAAAAAAACTTGATGAAGCATGTACATGATGGACCTACGTAAAACATAATCTGTAACCGCTCGAACGGGAGTTGTTGCCTGTTAAACGCTTTCAACAGCGCTCACTGAATACGAGCTTAGACCCCATTCTCCCTTCTCCCTTTCTCCCCTCCCCCACCCCCACACACGCACTTATCCAATAGAAATTTGATCCATTCCTACTGTTTTTATGTTACATACTTGAGTCGTTGTCTTGACGGTTCTTGACCGGCATAAAGCTTGCCACTGTCTTGTTCTGATTACCATATTTACACGACACATAATACAGGTGATCGTACACATACAGCTGGCCTGTACCACCGGGGTTGCTCTTTTCTGCGCTGATTTTAAGGATGCATTGGATGCCATCTCCAAGCTGTTCTGAAGACCAAGCACAGTGCGGTAGGGAGAGCATCGTAGTTTACTGTCCTATTGTTCTGAAATGTTGGCTGTCACGAGGTATTGTTTTGTAATCGCCACTCGGTTTCATTCCACCTCGCAAGATCATCTACGTTGGTGATGGTTATATCGACCGTGTGATTGTTGTGACAAGTAACGTTACCCACAGGATTAGGAGGGTACGCACCTGCAAAAAGGAAAAGGTAAAGTAAAGGTTCGGGACATAGTGTCCTATAGCCCGGGAGCTTCCCTCAATTTCCGCAGCATAATGAGACGTCTGAGTATTTCTCCCGGGGAGGACTATAAAAAGGACCGGAGTGCTCGTTGTTCCTTTTTTTTCTTTTAGCGATACTTTAAAAAGGGGTTTTGGTATCTCTCTCTCTCTCAGGGTGTTCAGCCTCAAAACGTCCACAGCGGAAGCTTTCGCAACATCTTTTAGGGTACTGATCCGAAAAAATATATTTGATTTTATTTACCGTTTTGTTTATTATGAACAACTTATATTAAACAAGTAGAAAGTATTCGCAGCAATCTTCTTTGCAAGTGAATACGTGAAAGATCATATATTTGAACCGCGGAGAGAAATAGCAATAAAAATCTTCTTTATTGCTATTTTTTTCAAACTGAAAAAAATATGCAAGTGTCAGTTATTGTGTCGTTAAATTTTAAAATTGGTACCCTTTAGAGGTGAAAAACATTTTAAGCCACCTCCAAAAAACAGGACTTTGGAACCTCTTAGGGTTGTTTTCAAAACCTCTGACAAGCACCGCTGTCCTCTCTATCTTGGCGATACCATTTCTCAATTAGCTCGCCCTACAACAATAACAGTTCCTAAACGCTTAATGCTACCATAACGAAGACATAAACAACTTGTACACATTTGTGTTAATACTGCTAGTAAGAGCGATCGTGACGTATTCATGACCTTTTAATCGTACGAATGATATTCTGTGAGCTAGAAAGTCAGCATCTCAACTCCAAGCCGGTTTGGCTTTCGCATCTGCAATTTACAGCCAGAAATTTCATACTGTTGATGCAAACTTGTACTGAATCTGGACAGGAGCGCTGATTGGTCAACTTGCATGGTATGTCGTAGACTGTTCACAACCTCTCTATTTACGTTCGCAACAGAAAAAGGAAGCGAAGCGAGCGCGAAGCACGCGGCGGGAGTGGGGGGTGGGGATTGCGAGCGAAGCGAGAAGAAGAATAGAGAGGCCGTAGACATCTTTGGAAAAAGTGGACTTATTACGCTCCTCCCCCTGTTATCGCCTTGTTACTAACAGCTCCACCCCTTGACCAATTAATTAAATCGGACCAGTAAGATGTGAGCGGTAAATTAGTCATTTAATTGATTACAAGTATCAGTTTTTCAACAACAACACGCACTTGCATTTGGGTGAATGTTGGCTCAGCTAGACGACTTCTTCAACTCCAAAAAAAAAAAAAGATGCTGAAAGGGGGAGAAAGCTGAAATCAAACGTTTTTTCCAATTTTGTAGGATATCCGTTTTTTTCTTTTGCTATTCGCTTGGGGAATCTTGGCAAGACGTCTTATTTATCTGCGGAGAATTTATTTCGAAGGTGTTACAAGGTGTGGCACTCGCCAATTACAGTGAGCGTGACACAATTGTTTAGCAGAGAATCTTCGTTCTATAACATGTTTTAGAATTTTGCATACAAAAGGTCTTCCGCTGTCTTCCGAAAACAAGCTTGTACTTCGCATCTCCAATCAGAAGTACGTCGTCTTTTGTTGACAAAACGATGTAAGGAATCCTCTTCCATCTCCACTATTTGTTCTTTTAAAATTTCATGATGCTTTTGGGTGGTCAGTGATGACAACTGCTGCAAGCCGCAAAACGCGCCTTAACGCAATCATGATCGGCCGTTGTCAAGGTGATGACACTTTTGTCGCCCTTCAACCAATGGGAATTTTCCGTTTCTGAAGAAACGGGGGATTCACTTTTTTCCAAAGATGTCTACAGCTCCTCGATTTTTCTCGGTCTCCACCCCCTACCCAGTCAAATCTTCCGTTTTGCGCTAGCCTCCAGTTCTCTTGCGATTCTAGATCTATCCGCGCGTTCAACGATCGAATAAAAATACGGGAAAATAGTATGTCGAGCGATCTAACACTTACCTTCAATACCCGTGGGAAAACTGAGAAACCGGATATCATTACGGACTAAAAGTAGAATGGCAGCCGTAAGCCGTTTTCGTGTAAGATTTCCAGACCAAAGAAGTCTTACTTCATGAACAACCTTAAACTGATACATAGGTTACACCAGTACTACCCGAATTCCGTTATAATTCTTGCTAATGACTTTCAAAATCGATAACAAGAGTACTCTGGGTATCAGAGATTTTTTTTATTACGCGTGATTAACCAAACGTGCAGGCGAGAAAATTGGACACCATTTAGTTTAGTAAATTGAGATGCAGAATATTGAGTGACTGATCTGACTTTATTTATCTGTTCGCATTTTCGCTTCGGTTAAATTGTTATGAAATGTTATGGTTATATGTAGGCAAAGCCGATTACAAGGCGCTCCGCAGAGCTTTCACGGTAATCCATCCGAAGAACTATTTTACCATGAGAATAGGCTAGGCTAGCCATTGTAAAATTCTCACCCTTTATATTTAGAGTAGTTTTAAACTTCACGCCTTAGCGAAAATGTTTGTGGGCTCATCAGTTCATTCAACAATTTTAACTTCTTCTTGTCTTAATTCTAAATCTTCCTCCGGAAACTTAGGAGAAAAGAGAAAACGTGGCCATTTTGTTGACCACAATTTGCAAGCTAATGGCTGATAGTGTGTGATGCCACAGTCAGTCAGATTGCAGCCTTCACATCAGTACACCAATTATAATTCTACTCATTAAGATTAGTCATCTTTCTGTCGCGTAAGTACCGCTCTCACTGGAATATTATATCATGCGAGAACCAATTGCGAAGAATTACAAATTAAATGCCTTAGAAATGAAAGGCATACACTGTATTCACAGTTAAACTAAAATTACAACTTCTAAAAGCTGATCGATTATAGAGGTTGTTAAAGCAAAGTAAGAGAAACTGTTAGAATAAAATAAAGGTTTAAGGGCAGTATCGTTTGTTTCACGACGTGGCCAGCTTTGATTGATGAACAGCTGAATAAACATTTTCACGACACATGTAAGAAACTAACCTTTGAAAAAAGGGAGAAGCAAATCCTTGCACCCGTGACTGTTGTCTTGGTCCTAGTGATGCAAAAATGTTTACGTCAGAAAACAGACAACTTGCTTGTGTAATAACTGAACAAAATTTCTTCCATTTCAGGAATAGGTTGTTAAGATAAATCCCAGTTGGGCATGGCGAACTAGCTTGTATCACTTAAAGATAACAGAGAGAATATGAGCTGCAATAGCTGCACAAACGCTTTCCATGCGAAGAAACGAAAGAGTTTACCGATCACGTCTGCATTAAACCACGTAAACCTGTATCTGTGTCACTGTAATCGCTTATCGGCCGCAACGGAATGTTCATTTAATGTTCAGATTGGTCGAAGGAACAATGTTTCTTTCCCAACCCGCAATACATTAAAAGTCAACGTTACCTGTTTATCTAGGAATTCAAACCAAGGCTGGAAGCTGTTAATATCAACTCTGACATCTTTAGCCACTGCCGAATTCAGGCACACAAACGGATGCTGACAACTACGCAACTCTTCCTCTGACAAAAAGTGGAGGCAATGTTCTCGTTTACAGTCTTCCATGTCATGATTGCAACAGTATCGTACTACCCCCTTATTAGAACAGACTGGGCACCTCACATACATCTTATATCTGACATTCCTCAACCAGTGGAACTCATTCCGCATGCACTCAAGCATCAGTCCCAGTTGCCTTCGCACTTTTCGGCATACTGAAACGTCGGATGCTTTATGATCCGGATCCACATGCGCATTCATAGAGTTGCCAGATGGCGCCATTCTGTGAACTGCGATCTCAATCGAAGTGGAATGACAAAGAAGGATCACAGATTGCCCATCGCGAAGACTTGTGAAAAATCTTGCAAAGTTGTTGAACATCTGTGGCTGTCTTTGGCTGGACCACTCTTCATGGCACCACTGGATAAACTGTAACAGCATCCTCGGGAAAAATCCTTGGGGAACGTGGCCAGAATCAAATCTGAGAAACAGAGAAGGAAGACTTGCTGATGACAGCAAATCGAGGACGCCTTCAGTTGGGTACGACTTGAGCATAGATGGCACTAGGTACTGCTCATCGGAACTCGTTGCAGGCCAAGGACAGATCAAGCTAAACTTTTCCATGATCTTGAGAAGGCTTTCAAAGGTGTCTTCAGGGTTGAAAAAAGGGGTCCACGCGTGTTGTATAACCCTTTTATGAAGAACTCCTGTCCTCTCAAACTCAGACCAGAGAGTTTCGAGCTTTCCCCCTTCAGGAATATGGGTTTTTGCAGCAATTATCTTCTTGAAAACATCAACCAACCACTGGGGATCCAAAACAACCATTTTGTTTAAGGCTTGAGTTTCACCAAAATGAATCAGAATTCTTTGGTCGTGTAAGAAGTTCATTAACGTGACAAACTCGTCATCTCTGATATCGCAGACTTCACAAGCAATCTGTTTCGCTTTATCAAGCAAAAGGTACTTGCAGCCCTCTTCACGCATGACTTGAAGGGTCTGTTCATACTTCAGCCACTTTATTGGGATTTCTTCCTTCCTCTGGAGCAGCTGCTCTGCAACAGCGCAAACTTCCGTTCTCAGACGCACGACCTCTTCGCACTCACGTTCAGAGCCCGACTTGGTGTTATCCACAGCAAAGACGTCGGCGTACAAATGATTACTAAACGGTTTATTCTGAAGAGAATCCAGCAACTGTTTGGCTAGCACTTTAGCATCACCACCATTACAAGGTTTGTCGGCATGAGTACAAACCAAGAACACTGTAGGAAGTTTAGTTGACAGGTTTTCAATGTCATTGTTCTCAACAGCCAAAAGAGAGATAGATGACAACCAGAACTCCAGATTGTTTAGAGGACTCTGTACACTGAAATCATTCCCCTGTCTGGAAACAATAGAACTTTTCACCTCATTGGGATCTCGGCTCATGTCGTAGATCAATAAGTAGATTGCTCTTGGAGTGAGAAATATGGGATGAGTCGCATAATACACTGATTGTCCGCCAAAGTCCCACAGAATTGAAAAGATCTCTTCTACTTCCTTCTTTACCTCAAGATCGAGCAATCGTTTGGTCAATTTGGCTATTTTATCAGGAACTTCTGGAACTGGATTCTCAAGGAACTGCTGTTCCTCTTCTTCACTATTCTTCTTTTCTGGCGTTCCGTTTCCTGCGGGTTTATCTGCGCCAAGCAAAGAAGTTGGCTCCTGTGAGCGTAACTCTTCCTTTAAATTGTCACGAATAAACTTTGCTGTCTGATGTTCATAAGAAATGGCATGACAAGGGTTTTCCCCTTGATTATTCTCTCCTGACCTCCACATTTCTGTTGTAACCTGAAAATGCAAGGGGTCCACCTCTATTCCAACAGTACTCCCTTCTTGTGGATCAAAACGCTCCCCTTTCAGAGACTTTTTCAAGCTGGTTTTTCCTGACCTGTCTTGTCCTACGAGCATGACTGGGATCCTCCTTACTTGGATTTTTCCATCCTCAAGTGCTTTCTGGTATGCTTTGCGTGCTGACGGTCCCCGAGCAATAATCTCCAAGGGTACTGAGAATTAATAAGGATAAAGGGTAATCTTTCCTGTCACAAACACGACAAAGAATTTAGGTGTCCTAAAGGCGTGTAAGGGACAGATGGAACTGAAGCAGAGAATTTCCGTCACATTTCGCTTGTGGCCTTATGTTCCAGCCGGGACGACCTCAGGATTTAATGAATGCTAGTTTTTACCAGCTAAAATATGCAGGAAAAGTTTGATCCCGACTCTGTTATTCGTCTTCTCATTCAAACCAAGCGAAAACAAACCATTTAACAACTCTAACAAAAAAGTGGAATACCGCCCTCTATGTTACACATACGTTAGGCCCAGATGGACTGAAATACAATAATATTCATAACATAGTAAGCAAGATTTGACTTTGACCGTCCTTTTCATTGCTTCACAATATTCCTCAAACGTGTAATTGCCTTTTAAACTACATTTTTCCTTGAGGAACTATATTAAGAAACCTTTTAATATTCTGGGATGGGTTTCCATTACCCGATGGTTTTCATTTCTCTTTTTGGTTACTGCCTTCGTAAAGTACGCGTACAATTATACAGTGTATGCATGCACGCACCCACGGAATCCTGGGACACTACTTGATCTCGGATCTCACTTTCACTACTCGATCTCGGTCTCTCTTTACTTGATTTACCGGGCACCTACAAACCAAAAGTAGGTTTTAAAATTGTCCACTGTGAATGCACTAAATACAATGCCGTTTCAAAAGGAAGAGGTTGACATAGTTCAAAATGTTTAGTACACGCATATAGAATTGCCCTTGTTGCAACAAAACGAAAGCTGCCGATTGACTTTAAACTTGCTTAAGGACGTTCGCGCGAAAATGTCTACTCGATATATTTTCTTCAAACTTGTACTACGGACAGATAATGAAGTACTTGTTTCAGAAATGAAAAAGAAAAAAAGAAAAAAAAAAAGAAAAATTGGGGGTCACGGACTTCGTTTCAGAGATAAAGCGTGTTGACAACTAGTCTGATTTTGAAAAACTGGCGCGCGTAAATCAACATGGTCTCCAGGGTTTTTAGCTGAATAAATAAATAAATAAATGAAAGAACGAACGAACGAACGAACGAACGAACGAATGAATGGAGTGAATGAATAACGACTTTATTGGATAACACAATTACTGACAAAAACCAGTAGTTCACATTGTAGTCCTTAAAATCTACCAAACAACTACAATTACAAATTCAAATAGAAAAATGCAAAGAAAAAATACAATTGAAAATTCTTTAAAACTTTCTTCTGATAATATTCCGATCTTTGCATTTCTTGAATATTAGATTTCTGAATTTACAAAGGGGAATCAGGCCCCTCGTAGTACTGTCTTGATTGTTCCATAGTCTAGTGCCACTTGCAAAAAAATGAACGCCGCACAGATAAACGAAGAGCTAAAACGAAGGGAATTCGATGGTGCATTTTGTAAAAAATTCAAACTTCTAATTGATAAATTTTCTTCTTTTGTTTTGCTAAACGT